AGAGAGAGAGAGAGAGAGAGAGAGAGAGAGGGAGAGAGAAAAGAAAGAGAGAGAGAGAGAGAGAGATAGAGAGAGAGAGAGAGTGGCAGTAAATTCTGGACTTCTCTCTCTTTCCTCGAACATTACTTACCTGTCGACAAAGTGGAGTTTAGACAGCTGGAGAATATCGTAGTCCGGAATGTAGGACTCGCACAGTCTTCTCTCCAGCAACTCATTGTCTCTCTTGTATTCCTCACTGTCCATGATTTCAGCGATGCGATCTCTGTACCTGTACGGAGGCAGGTGATAAATTTAGTAAACTTTAGCCTTCCATACGGCAGGGTTCTCTATAATATATCTGTCCCCTGGGTTTTATGCACCCTGCATAATTTAGCAAATAATTGATCTTTTTTTTAACAATTTCTGATAATTATCCTTTATCATTCTTTGTTAAAATTAACAGAATCGCATAATTTCACATTTTTGGGCCCAGTTTGAATAATTTCAGAATTGTTCTTGCACAAAACGACGGGGACAGATATATGTCACTACGTGGGGGAATCAGGCGTTCGTTAAAATAATTTAATCAAAGAAATCGGTTGGTTTTTTGTTGTTGTTTTTTTGGCCGATGAGCAAGTTTTTTCTAATTTTCCTATTTATTTTCTCAACACCTTTTATATCCATTTAAAAACACATTTTTTGTGTGAATTTTACTGAAAAACATTGATCAAGGGAAAAAAAACCTTAAATTTTCAGTTCCCGAAGACTCTCAGACTATGGAAGTTACCAAACTTTGGCAGCCATTTTCTCACGAATTTTTCCTTTGAAACCAGGAGGCGACTCGGACTTCCTTCAATAGCAAATATCTCTATTTCTATTCTAGATAGATGGATATTTTTTCACCATAAGGAAGGCAAATGAGCAGGCTTTAAGATGATACCAATAATGCCATAGAGTCTATACCCAAAGAGTGACGAGCGCCTGATTCCACCAAGTCGTGAAACATAATATTGTCTATGCAGCATCATAATATGGCGTCAAAAGAGTATTTGTTTCTTCATTTATTATTTAAAAAATAGGAAACAGGGAAGTGGCATATGCTTTGCATGAATTATAAAAAGAAAGGGGCGATGTCTTACACGTTTGCTCTTTTTATACTTTTGAACAATGTTCGTGTTTGTTATCATTATGGCTAATTTAGTGGCCTGCCTCAAAAACAGTGGTCTTGCCATAGAGACAAATAACAAACTTGATGCGATAGAACAAGACTGGTGTTATTTTTGGATTCAGCGACTTTGGACTATTATACTCAAGTCTCAACCTCAATGCCAAATACACAAGTGAAATATTGTTGCCCAGTGTTATTTATGGGGCAAGGCACTGACTGAAAACTTGATAATCAGGACACCAGCGATTACAACAGGTGGGTTTTTTTTATGCCTCCCTTTGATGCAATTTAGATCGTATTAAGAGACCGCATCCGGCCTTGTCTGGGACACACCAAAGGTTTTCAGTTGGTAGGACATTTTGAATTTTACCCTACCCCTGCCTCGTTTGCCATCAATTTTGCCAGTGAGAGCAAAAAGTTCAACACCCTTATGTCTATTCAGAAGTCCCAAAAACTGCATTTGTCTCTTCCTGATTGTTTTTAACATAGAGCGTCCCACGCGGGCTTCATCAAGCACTTCTGGGATACTCACTTGTAATAAGGTAACTCTTTTATATGAGTGATTATGATCTTTGTCCTGTTCTCCCGCCCTCTCCTCATCCAGTCAATGAACGGCTTCCCCGGAGGGTCGACGAACACCACCATGCTCACGTCTAGCCTCAGAACCCTCTGCATAAACAGCAGGTACTCGTTGTAAGACCGTCTCTGGTTAGACCACGATCCTCTTCCGATGTCCAGCATAGCGGTCACCACAGTGAAGTTGTACTCGCCTGGACAGATGTAATGTTACGTTAGTTATTGTATTCTTTTGAGTTAATTGATTTTGTGTCATGAGATGTGAATATCAATGTTATAGACAGATAGATAGATAGATAGATAGATAGATAGATAGATAGATAGATAGATA